CACTAAGTATTATCATTGAATTTACAAATGAATCTTGATAAGGATTTTTAGGGTTAATTAAAAATTGGAAATAAGAGGGGCGAAAACCGTCAATTCCCCCTGCAGAGTTTTTATTAAAAGATAAAACTGTTTTAATTAATTCTTCCTTACCTATTTCGATTAAATTAGATTTTATAGGGATGGGAAGATCTTCAGGAAAAGCCTGAGGGTGCAATTCTTTTAATAAAGTAAAAGTATGTTCATCAAATGGAGCCAATTTATCATTAGATGAAGCTAATTTAAGAGCTCCACATACGTCCCCTTGGTCTATTTTTTTTGATATAATTTTACATTTATGGGGAAAATCAGGTGTAGCCCTTACATCAGGAACGTAATTTTCCATTTCTAAATCATAAAAATGGTCTATTTTATATTTTATACTCTCATGCAAAATAGTTTTTTTATTTTTATCTGTAGGTTTAATTAAGACTTTAAAAGGAAAGGTTAAAAGATTCTCCCAAGCTTTAAGGGAATTTAAATTTGAATTAACTTCCATAATAAGTGTTGTTAAAAAATTAGAAATTAAAGACCTTGATTTAAGGGGTAGGTGGATTAAGGTTGGTGGTTTTTCCCACTTTAAAAAATTATCATAAAAATCAGGATAAAAATTTTGAATTACAATGGGGGTTGATTCAATTTTGTTGTACAAAATTTCATTTGAAGGGGGTTTACCAGAGTTTATACATGGTTTTGACCTGGGCCCATGTTTATAAAAACAAATAGCTTGGGTCAAGGTTATATTTCTATGGCAGGCATTACAAATGCTTGACATACCCATTTTAGAAGAATAAAAATAAAAAAAAGGAGAAGAGGGTAGGGGGTATGTATGAATGAATAACTTTTCTAAAATATTATTTAAAAAAAAAATAATTAAAAAAAAAAATAAATAAATAAAAGTTATAAAATTAAATTGAAAATTTAAATTTTGTTGTATTAAGAATAATTGAGTAATGTTTAAATAAAAATTTATATTTTAAAAAATAAAATACAAACTAACTTAAAATCTATATTTTTGAAAAATATATATTAAAATTTGAGGTTTAGATGATTGTGGAATTTTGGAATGTTTAAAAATATTTTTAAAAACAAGTAGATAAATTAACTTAAAACTATATATGATTGAGATAAGTATTTTCATCATTGATTGAATCAAAGACATCTTGGTGGTATGTTAGTGTTGAGCAAGCCACAATGTTCTTGTATTAATGATTGTTGTGCAGGAATATCATTGATTGAATCAAAGAAATCTTGGTGGTAAGTTGAAGCCACAATAAAGTTCTTGTATTATGATTGTTGTGCAGCAATATCTATTTAAAACTATATTTGATTGAGATAAGTAATTTCATCGTTGATTGAATCAAAGAAATCTTGGTGGTAAGTTACTGTTGAGCAAGTCACTATAATGTTATAATATTAATGATTGTTGTGCAGCGATATATAAAATGGCGTGTAAGGGTTAGGTTAATATGTTTAAAGTCAAAGGGATTGCCAGATATTGGGAAGGATTAAAATACTAAAATACCAATGTCATTTAACAAGGTAGGAAGGAATTTTGGTTGAGATATGTTATTGTTGCATATATTCAAGAGAAAAATCGCTTTTTTTATTGATATTCGAATGCGTACTACTTTTTATTTAAATAATATAATATATCTTGTTTCTACGCTATTTCGTATTTATTACTTTATCATGTTTTAAAAGAGTGCTAATTTTTGAAAAATAGTATGCTAATCCATTTTGAAAAATTTGAACTTCTTTTACAAAAAAGGGTGCAGCAGCACGTAAATATAACAAATTGAAAGTTCAAAACAAAATCAAATTATTTATTTGTTTCTCTTTTTTAAATATCTTTTTTCTAATAGGGCGAAATTATGTTTTGATGTGCTACTTAGATTTATTGCCATTTGATTCTATAAGCAATAATGGGATGACAGATTTTCTAAAGGTTTAAAATTTTAATAAAATGATTATTAAAAAATAAATTGCCTAAAAAAATAGAAATATAAAATAATTGATTCCTCAACAGAATTGCCTAATAGGACAACTATTAGTCGGGAAGCACTTGATGATGTTTATTGTTCTATAAAGGGACATGTTTTAAACCTGATTGATGCTGGTCCAAAATTCTGTTCCATTACTTTCGATTTATGGACCGATCATTTCAAGCGGCGAAATTATATTACATTTAGTCTTCATTTAGATGAAAATTTTGATTTAAAATATTTTACCCTGGCAACCCGAAATGTGACTCAAAAGCATACTGGGGAAACCATATTATCGGAGATTGATGGTATCGAAGAGGAGTTTCATTTAAAAGCTAAAATAATACAAATGGTAACTGATGCAGGGGCAAATGTCAAAAGAAGCGTCAGATTGGGGGATTATGAGCATCATTTATGCTTAGGCCATGGACTACATAATTTGGTTACAGTTGATGGCATAAAAAAAGTTGCCAGAATTGATAATCTCCTTAAAAAAAATAGAGAAATTATTTCAGCCCTCAGATATCGAGTAGCTGATTTGGAATGTGAAATTAAAGATGAGCATCGTAAATGTATCCAGTCAATTTATGAGACTTGGATATTGATGATTCTGATCCATACATTGATGACCATTTTGATAACGAAGCGGATAATAGAAATGTCATTACACCAACCAATCTATATAATACAAAAACGTTAAAATTAAATTGCCCTACCCGCTGGCACAGCATATTAATTATGCTAGAAAGTGTTCGTAGCGTGAACAAAAATCCTATTAATAATGTTTTGAATAAAATAGGAAACATGTTTAAAACTTTTTAATAATGAATAGGATATGATTGACGAGCTTAATGCCGTATTAATTCCATTCCGAGAGTCGGTGGAATTTCTTTCCTCCCAAAAGGGATCGACTATAAATCTAGGGTTATTATTTCGCAGTGAAATAGAAACCCACATACAGATCAATATATCTAATTCCTCAGATATTATTTGTTTAAAAGAAAATATGCAAAAAAAGCTTGACCATAGGTTTCCCATTACTGAACTTCAAGTTATTTTATATTTTTATTAATAAAATTATATTTTGAACATTAGATATTAACGACTCTCCTTGATCCCAGATTTCAAAATCTGAAAATTGTGTCAGAATATTTACAAATTCTACTACATCATTGCAATTTTTAACAAGACATTTAAAACTTTTAGAAAATGATAAAAATGCACAAAGTGAAATCCAAGTTGAAGATAATGGGGAGACTTCCAGTTCTTATATCGCCAAAATAGCTCGTAAACATTCCATTCCAGGCAGTGATTATAACAATATAAGTAATTTAGAACAAGAATGCCATATTTTGCTAAGCCAAAATAATATCCCAGAAAAGGATGCATTAACCTTTTGGAAGAAAAAGCAACTGGAACTTCCTAGGCTTGCTAATTTAGCTAGGAAGGTTCTTTGTACACCTGCAACCAGTACACCCAGCGAAATAATTTTTTCCATTGCTGGATTAATACTCAATGCAAAAAGGACTTCTTTATGTCCCACCAATCTTGATAAAATTCTATTTATTCAAGATAATTATAATTTAGCTAAATCTGAATTCTGATTTATTATATTTCTTACTTAATATTTTGTTTGCATTCCAAATATATATTTGTTATAATAAAAATCAATAGAATATTACTAATATGTGTTGTTTATGTGACTCTGATCTGAGTGAAAATGCAATTCCTTAGTCTATTTCTGAGAATGAGAAAATACATGAATTTAAATTGAAGTGAGACAGGAAATAATTTAAGAAATAAACTATGTTAACAATGTGTTAGAAAAGAGCGCCAAATTATAAAAAAATGTAATACATTGATTTATAAATTAAATTTATTAAAAAAATTTTTTTAAATAAATATCGCGCCGCCGCCGACAAGCGCGCCGCCGAACGCTGATAAAAATTTTTAAAAAAACCGCCGCCGTCAATTGAGACATCGGCGCACAGGTCTATCAATAATACAAACAACGTTGAGCTTGAGTTTTAAATTATATTAAAAACCGTCGAAAAACACTCGAAATGCTTAAATTTTATCCTTTAATTAAGGAAATTTTTTAAAAATATAATACTGCCATACCCTCATCAGCTCCTGTTGAGAGATGTTAAATACGCCAAAACGATAAAGACTTAATGATAAATTATTTGAAAAATTGATTATTTTAAAAAATAATTTGATTTAATTTTTTTATTTATTTGCAAATTTTCAACTCCCATTAAATATACTACTCTCCCTTCCATGTTTATTATTAATGGGCTAAAACTAATATTAAAATGCCTATTATTATATTATAATAATTAACACATTAATAAATATTTTATTAATTATTGTAAATATTTATTCTTATATGCGTATGTTATGTTTTTCACAAATAAATAATAAAAACTATTTATAAACTATTCTAATTTAATTGGTAATGAAAATTTAAAAGTATATTGTATTTAAGATACTCTAGTTTTGCAAAAGATACAAGTATCTTTTATCTTTTTGATATTTTGAAAAAGATACTAGTATCTGTATCTAAGATTCATTTTTTTATAAAGAATCTGTATCTAGATTCTTTTTCCGGAGGACCTGCCCAACTCTGGTCAATGGTTATAATGTTTTTAGAAGATATAAGGTAGAAATATTTGATAAATAAAATTGATACAAAGGAAAGAACACTTATAAAAATGCAATTCATTGCTTTTTAAAATATATTACATAATATCAAATGAAGATATATTATATTTCTATTAATTGACAATTTTATGATATGTTAATAAATATATCATGATTTCGTTTATCCTTAATATTCAAATATTATTGTAATAATTTATTTCAGAATTTTTTAAAGAAATACAAGCTGGTGGGTCAAGTTTATATTAATAGAAACCTGGAAGGTTTTAATGTAGTATATAAATATTTTTACCAACAAGTTTTTATTTTTATTTTAACCTTTATGCCTCCTGAGGGTGTTGTAACAGAAAACTTTGTAGACTTTTTACTTTGACATGTTGGAGTGTAGAAGGTTAAAAATAGTGGCGATTTCTAATTAAAAGTAGAATTTTGCATAAATTATGACTTAAAATTTTATATATGTTAAAGATTAATTTAACAGCTCTAACAAAAAATCTTAAAAAACAATTTTATTAAACTTACATTTGGTAATATTTTATTAAAATCAAAGTATTTGGTTTTATCCTTGGGTAATAAATCTAGACTTTAAAATTTTTTTTATTATAAATAAAGACTGAATTTTACATTGTTGGTAAGGATATTTGTTGAATATGGCTAGATATATTAAAATTTAAAAATCTATCATCACATATATGTGGAGTTCGCCCATATATACAAAAATTCATAACAATTGGAATATCTAGGATAATTTCTTTGGCATGACCATTCATTTCAATCGGTAAATTTTTTAAACTAAACATTTTGAAAAATAATTTCATGTTTTTATGCTATAACCTCACATGGAAAGGTTATAATATAAATAAAATATTTGTATTCATTCAATGTCACGCCCAAAATTGAAACACAAAAATATAGCAATAAAAGCGGAAAACTCAACCCTCCGATACCCATATATAAATTTTATAAAAAATATTTATAAATTTATTTGAATATGGATGTATGTTAATTAAATTATATATAGTGTTTGCTAAAATATACGATTGATACTAGATACCTTTCAAAGTGCGAAATCTGTATTGATAAAGCACATCATAAGTAGGAGATTAATTTTGACAGAATTTCATTTAATATATTTTCTATTAGTATATTAATTTTTTAAAAGTTGAAGACAATTATTTAGAATTTTATATTAAATCCTTATTAATTGTCCCTTAAATTGTCTACCTTTTCAACGTTACTTTATAACAAAACAAAGAATTGTATAATATTTTCTATACTTTTTTCAAAGCCCTATAAATGATTATTTTACTCACAAAAAATTAATTATAAATTTGGAATATGAATTATTTAGATTTAAACAAGAATTCCTATAAAATTATCAAATTGATGGAAACACACAGAGGGCAGGGATTGTAATAAATATAAGAGTTTTTAGAATAACAAATTTATTTTATTTTTTAATTCTATAGAATGTAAATATATATCACAATTGAATATATATATTCCGATAACAGCATCATAATATTTAATGTATAAAATTCTTAACACCAGCCATCATTCTAGAACTTTACTCCATTTTCGAAATCCTTATGACATGGATAATTCTTGGATATTCCTTACCATGTTCGATAGCTAATCACTACAATTACAATGAGTAATTTATCAATATAAAATAGAAGTATGTAGCTTAAAAATATAAATTAGAATGATCAAGTAAAAAATAGCGAGGTCATTTGATTTAAATGTACCCTTTAAGTTAAATAAATGAATATATGAAATGCTTACCTACAAATGGCATAAAATTATTCCTGATATTGCAACATGAATTAACCTAACTAGTATACGTATTGAACCGGTCTATTTATGTTTTTGGTATTTTAAAAATATTGTTTTCGCTAAATTTATTTCGTGTTTAATGGAACTATAAGTAAGGTGCCTCTTTGAAAAACTTATGGTTATAATAAAAACCAACTATATATCTACAAAAACTTAAATAAATATAAAATAAAATATAAAAAATATCAGGTTAAAAAAAATATTTAAGCAAACATTAATATTAAGAAAAAACCGGTCAAGACTGTGGCTAAAAAAAATTGATCCGTCTATTCGTCCAGTCCGATCCCAATCTAAGACTGATAGGACCAGGCCATTCACTTTAACTATTTTTAATCGTTGATCAGTCTATATTAATATAGTTAAATGAAATCTATAATAATTATATATATGGATTTAAAAAGTCGGATATGAGGGCGGTCAAAATCAGGATTGATATCATACTAATATTGTTGTGAGTACATGAATAATATGATTAATGTGAATATTATGGAAATTATATCAAATTTGATTATGTAAGCGTTTTATATATTTTTTTTATTATGCAAATAATATGATATGGATAATATTATATGTTAAAAGTTCTGATTAAATATATTAGAGGCGATATAAATTTTAATTTTTATAGAAAATTATTATTTTTTTGAGTTTAAGATTATTAATTTTTTTCGTGTACGTTTATCACAATTTTTTTAAATACTTTTATTTCATTTATCTCTAAATGGGCAGGTCTAGATCTTAGGGGTAAAAATAATTTTAACATTTGGTTATATATTAATTCAGTATACATATCATATTATAATATTTTGATTGCAATGCAACTTTACTTATTAAAGTATCCTAAAACAGATAAAAAAAAAAGATAGAAAGAATGAAAACAGTTCTTAGCATTCTCAGCTTCTTCTAAAATAATTTTCAAATTTCGCTTTTACAAATATATTTAATATTTATAATCTATTTTTTTTTAATTTATGCGATCATATCATAGTAAGGGGTCTCATTATTATGTTAAAAAATTGTACCGCCCCTTTAACCCATGACCTAGACTCGTATCGATAATAAAACCCAACAAGAGCATCGAATAATTAAACTCGACAATTCATTTAAATAACTTTAACTTGAAAAATAGAATAATTAATTGCGAAAATTTCTGAGCGATTTATTTTCTTCTGATAAATTCAATTAAAAATTTTCTCAGAAAATAAAAATTTTTACTTTTCAAAACCATCTTTGATTTTGAAAAAATTATCTAAAAATCTTTAACTTTTAAATATTATTTATTATGGGCAATTAAAGAAAAAAAACTTACAAACGTTTCAGTTTCTCTGCGAAAAAATAAGTCATTTCTAATTATTGTATAATAATTTTTTTAAGAAAACATTTATCTTACTCGACATAATGCATGTCAGTGAATAATTACCCTATAAATGTTTTCTCCATTTTATTCAAAAGATATTTTTGTTGTATATTTTAGTTATTTCCTTTATAATTATAGAGCTTTATTTTCCTTATTATTGATCGCTTTTTTACCGCTTTTTCTTTTCTGTCAGGTTAATTGTTGGCAGTTTTTCTGTAGAGTTATTTTTTTCAATAGGCTTATTTTTCAGGATTCACTTTTTCATTCAGGACCCAGAACAAATATGAAAATGAGCGGAAGAGCTTTAGTAATTGATAGCGATTAAAATAAGTTTGTATACATAAGTGGTGATGTGCGCTGATAAACGTCATATTTTTAATTTTTTAAAATAAATATCGGTTTGGGTCTATTAAACAAGATTAAAAAGGCAAAATAGCTATAATAGCTGCCAAGATGGTCATTAGGGTTGTTAAACGACCCTATTTGGGTCGATTTTAAAAAACAACAACTAAAATAATACTATGTAATCCTGGAAATTTTGCTAACAGATGGTAGAAAGGTTTGGACCTCTATTTGCCAAATCTCGAGACTTACATAATATTATTTAGGCCAAAATCTTGATTGGAACGTTTTTAAAAATCTACACAAATTGGGCTGTTTAACAACACTACTTACAAATTTTAAGCGAGAGAATTTATAATGAAATTAAAACTGATCAAAATATTGCAATTTAACCATTCCCGATTTACATAAGTTTCATAAATAGCTGCTTTCTTATTAGTTGTTTTAGCCTCCATTAATTTAATTGATTATAAAAAATCTTATATCAGTAAGATGGGCAAAAAAGATTTGACTAGCATTTTATTTTGTGAAGAATGTGTGAAGAGAATAACGATTATGGTGAGAGTAAGTAAAAAAATATTTTATTATTATTTTATCTCTTTTCAATCTACTATTTATATATTTTTTACAAACTAAAATTAGAATATAATATTAAAAAGGTTAACATGTAAAATAAAATTGTAACTAAAATAAAAATATAAGTTGAATAAATATAAGTTGAATTGTCCAAATTTGAATTCATAACATTCTCCTTCTTCTAAAAAGCCTTCACATAAGTTTAATTATGTTATCATAGTTAGTTTGTTTATCAAGTTGTTTCACAAGTCATTGTAATTGTTGGCTTGTCCCAATCGTTGGTTTGTTTAAATCGATTTTGCACGTTGGTTTGTTTAAATCGCAAGCTTGATATCCTTATCGTAAGTTGTCCTTATAAATCATGATTTTGTCATATAGCTTGCTTGTCATACTCAGTTGTTATTATTATCATTTTTCAAAATTGTTATTATCATCAGTAAGTTACGAATAATGATAAATAATAATTCATCAAATTGGATATAAGAATAAACGAAGAATGATAAATCAATAAGATTGTTATATAATATTTTCAGCGTTTTAATTTTTTGCGTTTTAGTGTAAGCGTTTTAATATTTAATTTACTTTACGCATTTTAATATTGATTTTATATTTTAAGTTATGTAATCTTTTAGATAAACAGGTTTTTGTTTAATTCGCACAGGTCTAGAAATAGGTGTTATATCGTTATTATCAGTAATTTTTTATATTTTTGTCCACACTTCCCTCCTTAAAAGAATCCTTAGTGTCACAATTAATAAGTGTGTTAAAACAGTTTCTAATTCTTATTTGATCTAAATGTCTCCTCAAAATACCTTTCTCTGTCTTAATTTGGAACATGATGTCACTTTCTTTATGTGTGATCATACCTTTGCACCATATATCATCACCTTGTACATTGTACCAAACAAAATCTCCAATATTAAAGGTTCTATTTCGTGGTAAAGTAACGTTTATTTTATTCTCCTTCTCCTCCAACGGTTTTAATAAGTCCCATTTAATTCTAATATCTCGATCAAACATCCTCTGAGATTGTGTAACTCCTGTAGTATCATTACGCGTATTTCTGTAATTAAATAAAAATTTGCCAAGTGCGATATCTAGGTAAATTTTAATATTCCTTTTCATATGTGTTTTAAACGTTCTCACCATGCGTTCTACCTGGACATTGGATTGCTGGTGATAAGCAGATGTGAACACATGTTTGATACCAAAATTGTTGCAAAATTTTTCAAAATCGTTACTCGTAAAGTTAGTACCGTTATCAGTAACTATAGTTTCAGGTATTCCATATAGCGAAATAGTTTTAAAAATTTCTTTTAAAGTAACTTCAGTCGTAATATTTTTAACAGGAATAATAATTGGAAATTTGTTGTAGGCATCGACTATTATCAACCAATTTTTTGTGGAAAACGGACCCGCATAATCTATGTGTATCCTTTCAAACGGTTTAGTTGCCGAAACCCATGGTTTTTGTTTCTTTATAGGATTATCATGATATATGTTACAATCGTCACAACTTTTCACTATGTCATTGTTTATACCAGGTCACCACATGTAATCTTTGGCTAAGGATTTGATTTTTCCTGCTCTCAA